TCGGGCGACGCCCGAAAGGGGCTTCGCGCCGCCGCGTTTGCTCGGGTGACGCCTGCGCTTCAGATGAGCCGCCGGCCAGAGTCGTCGATGCATCTTGAGCTTCCCTCGACTCGTTGCAAACGTCCGCACCCATTCGTACATTTGGTACGGAGGTCCGCCGGAAAGGAACCCCCAACTGGTTTTCCATCGCGCTCGTCGTCTTGGCCGCGTGACGGCGGCGGACCGGTCGGCGATCATTGTCGGCGCGCGCATCGACAAAGAATTGCCACCGGGGACAATTTCTCCATCGTGGACGTCTCGCCTGAGCGCGAGCTGTCGAAAAGCCTGACGAGCACCGAGAGAGGGTGCGATGGTCGAGATTTGAACCCTGACCCGACGCGGGGGCGCGGCCCGGCCGGCTCAGGTGCGCGCCGTCCCCCTCGGGCCGCCCCGGGCTCCTTTTGGTCCGGGACCGGACGAGCTGCTGCGGCGGGACGCTCGGTCTGCGTGCGCTCGCTCCGGCCCGGCAGGCGGATCGCACATTCTTCCGGGTCGAAAGTGGCGCAAGAGGTCCCGTCTTGCCCGTCGGCCCGTTTCACGAGGCCGTGTGAAGAGTCCACACGCGCACGCCGTGAAGCGGCTGCGCCTCGGAGCTTCACTTTCATTCTGGGAAAGTCTTCTTGAAATCAACGCGGCGTTGCTGTGGCGGCTCGTCTTCTCGCTCAGTGGGCGCAAGTTCGTTTGTATTCTTCCTCGTATCATTATTGTTGTCGTTCGTGTTGTAACCCGGAACACATAGAATTGTTCCACACAAAAATATGCGTCGTTTTCATCAAGACGCTTCTGGGGCGCGGGTTTTTTGTTTTTTTTTGTGCTAGTTTGGCCTTCTTTTTTCGGCCGCCTTGCTTTTATGTGCGTCAATGTCTCCCATGCCGAACGAGCCCTGCAGAAAGTCCCAAAGGTGCTCCACGGTTTCAAAACAAGACGTGAATTTGCTCATTTGAGGGAGGTCCAACGCAAAGTGAATCTTCAAACTTGTCGCAACTTGTACGCCAAGAATCTGCAACTATGTTCACGAGTTCAACGTGTCGCTGGAGGCGAAGGATTTTGGCAAAAATCAACTTGTTGCCTCTCGACAAGCGGCTTCCGAGCGGCGACCGTCGAAATGCCGGCCGGCCGGCCGCTCGTGACGGCGGCGCTCGACACGCTCGCGGAAATGGAGACGGAGGTCAGAAATCCCTCCGTCGGCGGCTCTTCCGCCCCAGCCGTGCGTTTGCGATGAGAGCACGGCGGAGACGGCGAGCGAAACAATCCTCCAATCAAAACACCAAGATGAGAATCCAGCGTTTGGAGTCTTTCTTGTAAAACTACACAAATAGAAACGCAATACAAATGTTTGTATCACGTCCACTTATACATATGAGATGATGTTCGACACTCTTGTGACAGCCCTATTGTCGAACTTATTCAACAAATCTATGGTAAATATCTCCAAAGACTAATTGATGAAATTCTTCGATATGACGATAAATCGCTTGCTCGGCAAAGAGTGCTATATACAAATGTGTAAATGTACTTCCAGATTGTGCCTGAATGTGGCAAAAGAAGCAGGATGGAAGCGGATGCGGTCGCACCTCTCCACGGTTTCACTCTTACGAATCAAAATGGCGACCCCACCGACTCTATGGGTGAGATAACCACTTCCGCCACTAGGGGCACCGCACCGCACTGTCATGCAATGACTGGGCGCAGAAGAGCGGCCGGCGCGCCTGCCGCGTATCCTGCCTGGCGCTCGCAGGTCGCAACCGGATCCCGAATCTCCCGCCGGTTGCGTTCATGCCAACGACGACTTTTGTCAAAGGAGCAAGAAAACAACGTTTTGTTCATTGGCGCGATCGTCGTTTCCCTTCGTTGTCTTGGATGAAGGTCAGACAACTAGGAGCGAGCGTGATCGACGTTCACACGGCCGTGCCCACTTCCACCTCTGAAAACAGCCAAACGTATTTGGCTCGCTCTGGAAAAAAAGCTTCACGTCGCTTGGTGTTGGCAAACCGCAAACGACGGTCAGCAGCATCCGTACGCCGCCCACCGATCGGATGCGAGACTCCGTGTTCGGGGGGGGCAAAGGAGCCAAAAGCCAAGGAGGTGGGGCAAGGACGGCTGCGGGGTCAAGTGGCCCGGGGAGGAAAAATGCGCGGCCAGGCCGGGCAGGGCGGCGGCCGCCGGAACGAGACATCGTGCACACGATTGAGGATGCACAGAAATGGCCGACGTGTGCACTGGCGATGGCCGAGCTCCCGCTCATGACGCCAGAATCATCCGGCACCCGCTCCGCTTGCGCATCGGCGGGGCTCTGGCACGCGGGAGGGGAGTGCCGATCAGCTGCGGGCGTGGCGGCGCCACCCGGCGCAACCCAGCCCGGTCACCAAAGGGAAAAAGACACGGGAGGACCCCGGGAGCGGACCCTCCAAAACCAAAGCGCGGAAGGAAGAGGCTCTGTCACGACACGTCACGCGCCGCTTCCTTTTACAGATGTTTCGTTGCATAAAAAACACGGCGCAGAACGAAAAGTTCCGAAATTCAACGTGATACGACGCAGCGCATTGACGGCAAAGATGGCTTTGCTTCGCGTCAAAGCTCGAGACCGCAGATGAGACAAAATCCGACTGACCGCTTTGGCCCGCTTTCAACCGGCGACGGTCTGCCCCCAAAGATGATCCTCCAAGTCAAAAATGGCACGCTTGAACAAACTGATGCGAATTCACTTTGTATGTTCACTGGGCCTTGGCAACACCACGAGGAGAAAGTCAGCGAGGGCGTGGCAAATGCAGCGGACCGCAAGTGCGTCTTAAGAGTTGGAGATTCTGAAGCAAACAACTTCTGGTGCCATCGTTTCAAAATAAAAAGATGTCAGCAGTGATAATCGCTGTGCATAACTCGACTTCCACCCGCATCGATCTCTGAAATGAGCAAAACGCTCGCCCGAATATTTTGGATTTTATGGGCGTCGTGGAGCGTTTTCCGGTCCGTGGAAAAAAAAAAACAACAAAATCCGTCACTTGATGTCAGAAAAGTGCGATGGAGCTTTGTCACCAAAATTGCCACGTCCGCATCCCGAGCCACGGCCGCATGGCATGTGGAAAGCTCCCAACGATGGCCGCCGTATTTTGGATCGGATGGACGCGAGCATCTTCCTGTCGCCGGACGTCGCCTCGTGATACGGAGGTGACCGCGTCGGGATTTTCACACATTGAGGTGGGCCCGCTATGACAATTTGAGCGACAGTTGGTCGGAGTTTCCCTCCGTTGGGCTTTTTTTCTCCATCGCGAACGTCGGGTTTGTGACCACCAGGTGGCACTGTTGGGCTCCGCCTGCGGCCGCGCGCCTGTTGCTCGTTAGGTCATTTCAAAGGAGCGCTCGGGGTCGGCTCATCGTTTGTTTGCCGCTGTCGTGTTTGGGTTCGCGATGGTTTTTGCTTCAGTCGTGGTTTTGGTTTGCTACTTTGGATTCTTTTTGTTTCGTTTGGGATTTCGTGTTCTCTGTGTCGCAATCCAATTTGTCAAGTGCACCCTGCTCCTCCCTCTTGCCTGCTTTTGGGGGCCCACCACCACCACCTCGCAACGCGACAGATTGCTTTGAGACTTTCAAAGGTTGAAGTGGCCTTTGTTTGGGGTGACGATTCGGAGCAGGTGAAGCTTTTTTCCGTCCCGGATTTTGGCTTGGCTTCAGATCCGCTTTGAGCCCGGACGCGGGAGGCGCGCGGAGAGGCTGAAGACGGACGAAGTCGGCGGGAGGGGGACGCACCGACGACTCGACGCCTTGTGGCCTTCAAGCACGCGTCCATCCGCTTGTGCTGGAAAAGCACAAGCGCGCTCAAGCCCGGGGCGAGCTCGGCTCGTGCCAGGAAACTCCTGGAAGCTCGTCCATCCTTTCTTTCTTTTTTTTTTTTTCTGCTCCCCCACCATTTCTCAACACCTTCTTGAGCAAAACGCTCGCCCGAATATTTTGGATTTTATGGGCGTCGTGGAGCGTTTTCCGGTCCGTGGAAAAAAAAAAACAACAAAATCCGTCACTTGATGTCAGAAAAGTGCGATGGAGCTTTGTCACCAAAATTGCCACGTCCGCATCCCGAGCCACGGCCGCATGGCATGTGGAAAGCTCCCAACGATGGCCGCCGTATTTTGGATCGGATGGACGCGAGCATCTTCCTGTCGCCGGACGTCGCCTCGTGATACGGAGGTGACCGCGTCGGGATTTTCACACATTGAGGTGGGCCCGCTATGACAATTTGAGCGACAGTTGGTCGGAGTTTCCCTCCGTTGGGCTTTTTTTCTCCATCGCGAACGTCGGGTTTGTGACCACCAGGTGGCACTGTTGGGCTCCGCCTGCGGCCGCGCGCCTGTTGCTCGTTAGGTCATTTCAAAGGAGCGCTCGGGGTCGGCTCATCGTTTGTTTGCCGCTGTCGTGTTTGGGTTCGCGATGGTTTTTGCTTCAGTCGTGGTTTTGGTTTGCTACTTTGGATTCTTTTTGTTTCGTTTGGGATTTCGTGTTCTCTGTGTCGCAATCCAATTTGTCAAGTGCACCCTGCTCCTCCCTCTTGCCTGCTTTTGGGGGCCCACCACCACCACCTCGCAACGCGACAGATTGCTTTGAGACTTTCAAAGGTTGAAGTGGCCTTTGTTTGGGGTGACGATTCGGAGCAGGTGAAGCTTTTTTCCGTCCCGGATTTTGGCTTGGCTTCAGATCCGCTTTGAGCCCGGACGCGGGAGGCGCGCGGAGAGGCTGAAGACGGACGAAGTCGGCGGGAGGGGGACGCACCGACGACTCGACGCCTTGTGGCCTTCAAGCACGCGTCCATCCGCTTGTGCTGGAAAAGCACAAGCGAGCTCAAGCCCGGGGCGAGCTCGGCTCGTGCCAGGAAACTCCTGGAAGCTCGTCCATCATTTCTTTCTTTTTTTTTTTTCGTGCTCCTCCATCATTTCTCCACACGTTCTTTGTGACGTGACGTCACCGACGCGTCGTTCACTGGGGACGATTCGCGTGGCAGATCGCACGCGCGCCCGCGCGGATGAGTTGTGTGACAAGCAAAGACGCGGAGGACGACGAGTGAAACGCACAAAGGCCGCCGCGCGAGCGCGAGTCTCCGCCCAGCGAGCCGCGGACCCCCGAAGCCCCCGCCCCCAAACTCCCCGCGCATAAAAGTGAGCGAGCAGAAGCGGCCCCGCGAGAGCGAGTAGGAGAGAAGCGAGCCAAGAAAGCGTGAGAAGGGAAGAGAAGAAGTCGAGCGAGCATGAAGATGAAGTCGCGTTGGGCGCTCGCCTTGTGGTTTTTGGTCTCGTGGAGCTCGAGCGTCGCGCGCTCGCCGTACCAGGCCGTCCTGCAGCACAGCCGCGTCCGGGGACGCCAGCAAGGGTGAACGAACGAACGAACGAACGAACGCTCGACGCGCCTCGCCTCGGCTCCCGTTTCGGAAACTAAGCGCGCGCGCTTCGCTCGACGTCACCATCAATTCGGCGCTCGTACGAGGGCGGGCGACGGGCCTCGGCAAAGTCTCGAAGCCCAAGCGAACGCGCTGGCCGGGAAAGCCAAACTTTCCGCAAGTTAGTCGGCCAGGCCAAAGCGGACGCGAGGGCGAGGCCGGCCCAAATCGTGGCCGGCCGGCCGCGGCGCCGACTTGAGCGCGCCGTCCGCAAAGCGCGAGTGGCTTTTCCGAGAGCGCTCGGCAAAGGACGTGAAACGGCGCTTTTGTGTGTCGCCCCCTGCAGGCCCAACGTGTGCGCCATGCAGCAGCTGCGAGGCGGCGACAAGAAGTACTTCGCCAACTGCAAGCAGTGGTATCATCGCAAGATCTGCAACCGGCCCACGTAAGTCAGCCTCCCGAACGCCGCTGCCGAGCGCCGCCGCTTGAAGGCTGGAGCGCAACCGCCGCGAGGGCTCGGGAAAAAAAAAAAAACAAAACAACCCAAGCGGAGCCTTTATTCCCAAAGAAACGGACGTGAAGAAAGAAGCCCCGCGAGCCCCCGCGGAGCGTGCCCACCGACTGTACCGAATCACGATCCTCGTCGTTGTCAACGTCGTCGTCAGCGGCTTCCATACGCGCGGTGCCGAGAAGCGCCGAGGCGGCGGAATTGCCGCGCTGTCGCGAATGGACTCGAGCGCCAACGGCTTCCGACCGAAGGAAACGTTGGGAGCGGTCGGGGAGCCGACTCGTCAGCGGCCCGCGGCGCTCTTCTCGCCCTGCCGAGGGCCGATGGTGGGGCGCGACGAGCAAAGTCTCGGACCCCAAACGTCTTTCGAAGCCCATCGTTTGTGTCGCCCAAACGAGGCTCCTTGCCCGCCAGCGGCGCGCTCTGACCGGCGCGTGCGTCCGCCTCCCCAAGCCGTTCTCCTCAGGAGGGTCGCGGGCGCGCCGGGGCCCATCCCGGCCGTCGCCGGCGGTCGCCGCTCGGCTTGGCGCCTTGCGACCCGAAATGCGCGGCGGTTCGTTTTCGTGCATCTCGCACGTCCGGCCTGCGCGCGGAAAGGTTGACGGCTACGGCGGCGGTCGCCGTGTGCTTACTCGGAGCGCCGCTGTCCAATATTCTTTGACCAAACTCACTTCGAAGTACTTTTACATCAAAAGTTCTTGTGTTGCTTTTGATGGGCGGGGGGACGTCGTCGCCAGGTGACCCGAGCCCTGAAAATTGAGGATTCTATTGTGGCCCTTCGCACCGGGAGAGAAAACAAATCCTGAACAGACAGCGAGGCAGACGGGCCAAGTGTGCAGTGCCCCCCCCCCGCGCCAGCGGAGGCATCGGGCCGAGCCGGCCGACGAGGCGCGGTCCTCCCGTACGCCCGCGCGGAGACGTGTCGACGTCTGGCGACACGGCGCAAAGCAAAAGGAGAAACAAAAGCGGCGCTGCTTTCTCTCCTTCCGCCGATGAAGCCGCCCCGGCGGGCACTTCCGGCGTCTTCGTTCTTGGTTTTTTTTTCCTTTCTCCGAGCGGCTACTTTGGGAAAGTCGTTTGGGCGGCTGAGTGTTTTTTCGATGAGGTCAAGCAAGCAGCGAGCCAAGGGCGGCCTCCGTCCCTCTCCCGCTCGCTCTCGTCTTTGCTAGCGTGCAAAGCTGGCCCGTCGTCGCGCGCGCGCGCGCTGTTTTTGGCCAGCGTCGAAGAGGAAGTCGCTTCGTCGAAGTTGGCGCGGGGGCTTTGTTTTCACGCGTCGACGTTTTCATTTGCGGCCGTCCGGTTTTGCGGGTCGAGCGCGGAAGCGCTCGAACGTTCCGCGAGGAAAAGTCCAACGGACGAGCGCCTTCCGCGTGGCGTCGGAAAAGATTGCGGGAGGGCGTCGCTTGCTCGAGCTGAAGCGAAGACCCGCGGCACGCTCAGTGGCGTGCTTGAGATTGTCGTCACTTCCTGAAGCTTGTCCTTTCCTCGCTTTTCTTGGCCTGCCCGGACAGGAAGGCTTGTTATTTTTTTGTTTGTTGTTGTTCTTTTGAAATGTTTTGTGCCGCAGGCGGGCGGGCGTTTGCCTCCAGATTCTCAGTCTCTTTACGAGGGCGTTTATGATGGAAATCTCGACAGGAAGGAAGGGAGGAAGTCAAGAGCCAAACTTTGGGGCCAAGCGTTCTCCCCCGGCAGCTGGATCGGATCTTTGCGCTGATCCGCTTCCTCTGCGAGGCGCTTGTGTTTGTCTTCTTATGACAGACAAGCGCGCGCGCACACACACACACACACACACACACACACACACACACACACACACACACACACACACACACACACACACACACCCCGTGACACCGTGACAATGCACAAAAGCCCGCGTCGCCTTTTCTAACAGCACGGAGGGGATAAAAAAAAACATTCATTAACGACTTTTACGAGCAGGCAAGAATTTCCGTGTCTGCCGAGTTCGATGCGGTGGTCTTGTGGAAAAAAATGTTTGCTTTGATAGGGGGGGTGGGGGGGGCGTCCCCAACTCAACGGTCCAGTTTGAACGGGGGGGTTTGTTCTGACGGCGAGAACGCCGCCGCCGCCACGTCACTGAGCGGATGTCGATGCGACATCACTGACGCGATGCCTGTCGTTGATGTGTGCCCGGCGCAGGGTGGTGACTTACGAGTGCTGTCCGGGTTACGAGAAGATTCCCGGGGAGAGAGGCTGTCCCGCAGGTATGACCTTTGACCTCCGAGACAAAAGCAGTCTGGCGCACCTAACCCCCCCGACCCTCGGACCCGGTTTCTGACCCGCCCCTTCAGCCTCCTCGCAAACATCTGAGCCCGAGTCGTGCGCGCGCGCGCGCGTCGCCGTCAAAAGCGACTTTGCCCCGTTTTTTGTGGCCCGCGCGAGCCCGGCCGGCCGCCCGTTGACGGAGGGGTTGTCGCGTTGTGTCCGCAGCGCTGCCCCTGGTCAACATTTACAACACGGTGGGGGCGGTGGGGGCGTCCACCACCAAGATGTACGCCGACCGAGCCCAACTGAGGGAGGAGATCGAAGGCCCCGGAAGCTTCACCTTCTTCGCTCCCAGCAACCGGGCCTGGGCCGCGCTGCCCACCGTCAGTGCCCGCCGCGGGGAAACCGCTTTCCCTTCGGAAGTGCGCGTAGGCGCCGAGCCCGGGCAGTTCCGTCCCGACTAACCGGGACGGGGGGGGGGACGGGTGTGCACGCAGGAGATCTTGGACGCGCTGGTGAGCAACGTGAACATCGAGCTGCTCAACGCCCTCCATTATCACATGATCGACCGCCGCCTGACGTCGGAAGAGCTCCGGCACGGCTCCTCCTTCCCGTCCATGTACCAGGACTTCCCCGTGCACGTGCACCACTACTCCAACGGGGTAACGCCAACGCGGCCGCGCGCGCGCGCGCGAGCTCGCGGAGACGAAAACGCTCGTGTGTTCAGATCGTGACGGTGAACTGCGCGCGTCTGATCAAACCGGACCAGCACGCCACCAACGGCATCGTGCACGTGGTGGACCGCGTCATCACGGCCGTTTCCAACAACGTGCAAGCGCTCATCGACGCGGACGACGAGCTGGAGACGCTGCGCGTGAGTGCCGGCTCCCGCGGGACGACGCGATCGCTCGGGGCGCTGACGAGAGCGGGCCGCCGCCCGCGCCGCCTTACAGACGGCGATCGCCGCCGCCGGCCTGAGCGGCGTTTTGGAGGGCGAGGGCCAGTACACCGTCTTCGCTCCGACCGACGAGGCCTTCCGGAAGATCCCGCGAGAGACCCTGAGCAGGATTCTGGGAGACCCCGCGTCTCTTCGAGGTGAAGGGGAGCCGCGCGCGAGGGCGTCGGCGTCGCCGCGCCCGTTTCGCTCGCTGACGCCGTTCCTTTCAGACCTGCTCAACTACCACATCCTGAAGAACTTGCGCTGCGCCGAGTCCATCGTGTCGGGCGCGCCGATGGAGACGCTGCAGGGCGCGGTTCTGGAGGTGGGATGCGACGGAGACCGGCTGACCGTCAACGGGAAGGCCGCGGTGGTGAAGAAGGACCAGCTGGGCACCAACGGCGTCGTCCACTACGTCGACGAACTGCTCATCCCGGACTCGGGTAGGGCGACCCGCCGACGAGTGAAAGCGGCGAGCGAGGGGTCAAAGGCGGCGATTGAGCGAAACCCGAACCATGTGCGGCGCAGCCAAAACTCTGCTGGAGCTGGCCGAGAGCTCCAACGTGGCCACGGCGACCAGAATGTTTGCGGAGGCCGGTCTGAGCCCGCGCCTGAAGGGCTCCGAACCCCTGACGGCGTTGGCGCCCCTGGACGAGGCCTTCGGAGGTGAGCGTCGAGCGTCGGGGGCCCCGCCCGCGGCCCCCTTGACGCGTGCCCTTGACAGGAGGCCGGCTGAGCGGCGACGCGCGCAAGGTGATGAGCGACCACATCGTCAAGGAGCGGCTGTCGTCGCAGTCGCTGTATCACAATCAGGAGCTGGAGACGCTGTCGGGCGTCAAGCTCCGAGTCCTGGTCTACCGAAACGTAAGGCGTCGTCGCGCTCGGCCGCCGGCGGCTCCTCGGCGCGCCTCAACGGACTCTCGCGCAGAACCTGTGCATCGAGAACACCTGCCTGGCCGCCCACGATAAGACGGGACGCTACGGAACCCTGTTGACGGTGGACAAGGTGCTGACGCCGCCCGCGGGAACGCTCATGGACGTGTTGAAGGCGGACGAGCGCTTCGGGTGAGTGGCGGCGTCGCCGCCTCCGCCGCCGCGCCCCGGGGCCGGACCCTGACGGCCTTTTCCTTTGGCAGCGTTCTGGTCGGCGCCATCCAACGGGCCGGGATGACGGAGCTGCTCAACCGGCCGGGCGCGCTGACCTTCTTCGCGCCCACCGACGCCGCCTTCGACGCCATGCCGCAGGCCGAAGTGGACGAGCTGATGCGTGAGTGGCGCTTTTGCGCGCGTGCGCGGGCGGGCCGAGAGCCTTTTCGGCATCCGGGGGCCTTCGCTGTGCGTTCGGGCCCACGCGTCGACATTCCGGGACGAGCCAAACGGCAAACATTTGCGCTCGGCCACTTCCAACGGGAGAAATATTTACGAGAGGGCGGAAAGAAGTGTCGACGGCCGCTTTTCTTTCTCCAGGAAACGGGCGGCAGCTGTCGGCCTTGCTGAAATACCACCTGGGGGAGGGGCTGGTGGTCAGCGGCGGCGTGGGCTCTCACACCAGGATCCAGCCCCTGCTGGGCGACAAGCTGGAGCTGGCCGCGGTGGGTGCCGGCGCCTCCCGCGCAAAGCGCGCTTTGCGCCTCGGCTCGCCGTTAACGCCTCCCGTCGCCCCGCAGAGGAACTCCACGGTCTTCGTCAACCGGGTGCCGGTGGCCCACGCCGACCTGATGGCCACCAACGGCGTCGTGCACGGCGTCGACCGCATCGTCAAACCGCTGCGTGAGTCCCTCGCGATCCCGGACGCTCGCTCGGAGCGGCCGCTAAAGACGCCGTCCCGTTTGCCCGCAGCTCCCAAGGCGGACCCGGAGCAAGCGGACGGCCCGCCGGGCGCCCTCGGGCCTTCTTCCTCTTCTTCTACCTCTTCTCTGGTGAGAATCGGCGGCGACGCCTCGAGTCGCGCGACTCGGGAGTCTCAACATACCAAAGCGACAGCGGGCCGTCGGTGAGCGCGATTGAGCCGCCGCTGGGCCGCCGCGTCGCATCGGCCATCTGTGAAAAGTGATCGCTCTGGTTGCCCTGCTTCAAAATAAAACCCCCAGCAAAGGCCAGCATGCTTTTGTTGCGTTTTTGCGCTGGTGTCCCTCGAAGACAGACCGGCAGGTAGCCAAAACTCCGGAGCCACAGCCACGCGGCAAGAGCTCGCCCTCCTCCTCAAGCGCGTGGCCAGAGCCAAACCGAGGCAAGCATTTTGACCTCGCGGAGAAAAGAAACGCGAGTGCCCGTCGGAAACAAACATCCATCTGAGCGGTCGGCATATCGGCCGCACGCCCGCCCGGGGGCACGCAAGTCGGAGAGCTCCTCGCCCGCCCACCCGCAAGCTCCGCTTCCCTTTTCAGCCGCCGATGGGACCGAGGCCTCCGACTTACCTCGCACGCCTACGTCGGCGCATAGGCGCGGGCGTCGAGTCGCCGCCGTCATTTTGCAGGCCCGACGCGTACGGTCCGCTGTCGGCTCGGTTTGTTGAGGCCGACCATGCCCGGGAACTCGGTGGATGACGCCGTCTATTGTTTTTGTCTTTTGTCCAGCGCTCAGAGTCCGGGAGCTTCAGGAACGGTGAGTTGCTCAAGAAGAAAAAAAAAAAAAAGAAATCTAGAAAAGAATCATCTGGCGGTCCTGACTTTTCTTCTCTCCTCTTTGCAGACGACCTTTTCCAGAAGGTCATCCAAAGTCGCTCCAGCAGGACGATGAACACCGCACAGTGATGTCACCATTTTCTCGTGAAACATTTGCTGGGTTAGGGTACTTCATGTCCCCCCACCCCCCCATCAGTGCCTCATACGCTCACTTGCAGTCGAGTCGAGCCACCGCCTTGATGCAAGGCCTGAAAACAATCCAAGTCCAGTCTTGCGCTTTTAAACCTCGGCAACTCAAGTTGACTTGGAGCCAAAATGAGCAAGCGCTCCAAACCGAAGGAAGCTTTGCCTGCTTTTTAGCATTGTCACTAGCTAACGCTTGCGCTTTGCTAGCTCGCGCACTAACAAATGCGATTCATCACCGGAACCAAATCAAACGCGCTCTTCTTTTGGACGTCGGCCGCGCAAACGTTGCCAAAAGGAACCGCGCGCAATGCGCTTTGGAGCCGCGCCGCTTTTTCGGGCACGTCAAGACGCCGTCGATCACGACGTTGATGTTTTTTCTACAAATGCGCTCAGCAAGTCGGCCGGCCGCACGCTCCGGCGTGAAGAAGTCGGCTTTCGTTTTGTCAAATGTGTCACGTTGATCCCATGCTTTTATTTTGGAAGAAAACAGGATTTCACTTCAAAACGGTGACAAAAGTGCAATGATTGTGACAACGAACGGCGTCGCTCGGCTCCTCCGTTCAAGTCGAGAAAGCGGGGCCGGCGACGCGCAGAGGTTCAAGTAAACGCAGACACACGATTAATTAAAGCTGATCGACAATCAGTCGCGCCGCTGGGCGGAAGGACACTTGGAAGCCATCGAAGACATTCGAGGTGATCGATCGTCACCGATGCGGCTCGTCGCCATCGGGCTAACGCGCGCGTCGAGATGATTAAAGCTTCGGAATAAACGACGCTCGTCGTCGGCTCCGTTCACACCGCGGCTCAGGTCCCGCGTTGGTTTTTTTGGTCCCGGGCGCGACCCGGACCGTTCGCACCGCGCCGACAATCGGACGCCAGTGTGACGTATTCAAACGCGACCCGGGCCTCTTTCACGCGCCGCCCGAAATGGACGCGACGCTCATCTGGCCCGCACGTCATCGAAAGCCAATTGCGCGTTGCGCGCGGGGGGGCCACATCGTGGGCGTTCACATTCCAAGTCGCTTTGTGCGGCGTGAACCACCACATGAGAAAAAAATGAGGATTCAACAACAACAAAAACAAAAGAAATCTGACGTGGGTATCACGCCAAGCGGCGTGAACGGAGCCAATATGACAAGCGCAAGTCATCACACACACACACACACACACTTAAAGCACTTAAAGCTGATCAATCCAACCAGGTTTTCCTTCATGACCCACGAGCCGTTGCCAATGAAAACGAGACGCGCCGAAGCAATCAAAAAGGCCTGCCACACAAGCAAAATCTCAAAACGAGGAAAAAGACGGCCGATGGACTGATTGATTGGGTTGGATCGATGGAGGGGGACCGGTAACTGAGCAAAGGCGACTCGTACGCAGCCGAAGCAAAGTCCGGCACGGGGTCGCCGCTCCTCACGGCTTTCCGATGTCGACCGTGATCTTGGTGTAAAGCGCCAGCGCCTCCTTGGAGACCAGCTTGTAGGAGAGCGACTTGATGCCGTCCTTGTTCATCGTCTCCCTGGTGTGAGCGATGCGGTCGAACCTGACGCCGCGCCAACAAACAACAACACAAAAGGTCAGTCAGCGTTTCCGAGACGCAAGGGAGGGGAGAGTGAGATAGAAAGCGCAAGAAGCGAGCGAGGGAGAACAAAGCAGAAAGACGCAGCGTGAGCGGGACGGGCGGCGGCGCGGCAACGGCACCCGCGACACTCGTCCGAGCGCGCCGTCGCGCCGCCACCGAGCCCCGGCCGCGTCGGCCGTCGTCGACCCCGGCTCGCCGGGACTTTCCCGGAGGACGCGCTTTGTCGTCGCAGATGAGGAAGCGGGTCCGAGTCTCGGCGCGTAAACGGGGAAGGAGGAGGAGCTTTCTGCCGACGAACGGCGGCAATTCGTCCGGTGGATTGCGGGACAAGACGACGTTTCAGGAAGACTCGGGCCAGATCATCGCACCGTGAATTATTTTCAACACAGGCGCACGAGGAAACTCGGCGGGGCCTTCTCGGAGATGAGCGGCGAGCGGATCTTTGCGAACGTGCGGATGGAGGATCCCGGCCAAAGCTCCCGGCGCCCCCGAGCGCCGCTCGCCAGGCTTGCGTTCAACCATCGACGTCGCGCTCAGAGCACTTGCGCGACGCGGCCGACATGGACCGCTTCCGCCTTCGCATCTCCGGCGTTGATGGCTTGGAGGTTCTTAAGACCCCGTGTAGGAATGCTTTGTTTTGGGGGGAACGTCCTCCAATATGCCCAATGTTTCGGGGCTCCTTCCTCCGCTCACCTCCCCGGAAGGGAGACGAGCCGCGCAACGGCGCAACGGCGCGCGCGTCCGTGAGGAACACGCGGCGCAGCGCGAAACCTAGCCGGAGTGAGGATCTTCACTTCCGACGTCTTGCGGGGGCTCGGGTCTCGCCAAGCGGGCCCGCCGTCGCGCAAGGCCGTTCCCTCGCGCTCCGATGCCCCTCGAGCCCCTCGGATCGAGCGCTCCGGCGACGCGCGCCACCGACGCCTCTTTCCCGAGACGGAGGGGCGAAGCCCGAGTTTCGACCCCGGACGATTGGTTTTTTTTTTGGTTTTTTTGGGCACGGAGGGAGACGGAGCAGAGCCAAAGGCCAAAGAGGAGGAGCGAGCGTCTCGCCGTACCGCTGAGGGTTGGGTTCGTTCTGTTTGTCTCTCTCGTGGCGTATCATGCGGCACCTGCCCACCTCGCCGCTGGGCCTGGAGATGGTCATGCCCTTGGACGCCAGCCTGCCAAAACAAGATCGCACGCTACAAACTGGCCACATCCGCGGCAAGCAAAGCGCACGTGTCAACGCGGCGAGATCGGGGGGGAGAAAAGCGGGCGTGCCGGAGCCGGAGCCGGCGGCACCCGGCTCCGACGCTTGGATCCGGAAGGGCGGAGGGAAGAAAAGTGGCCGACGTGGTTCACCGTGGCCGTCGGGAGCCGTCGCGCTCTCCAAACAAGCGCCGACTCCGATGTGCCGAGAAGAGACGCGCTCGACGGGGAGGGAAATTAAAAAAACCAGACTTGACTGACGGTGACAAGTCCGACGGCATAAAACAGCAAAGGATTCTTTCGCAGCGGCTTGAGAAGAGAACCGGCTTCGTTTTCAACGTTTGATTGTTCGATTCCTTGATGAAATCGCGTCGCTTTTCCTCCACTAGAGAGCGCCGGTGCACCCGATAAAGGAGGAAGCGACGCGGCCTTTGCAAATGGTGGAGTGGGCGGGGCCCTGTGACTCCGGAACAAGCCTTGCTTCTGGTTTTTTGGTTTTTTGCCGAAGAAAAGAAAATAAAGTGTAATTGCACATCCGCGACGGCAGCTGGCAGTGGCGCCCTCATTGCCAGAGAGCGCGAGGGGAGTAACAGCTCGCTGGTGTAGGGCTTCTTTTTTTTTTTTTTTTTTTTATAGATGACGATGATGATATTTTTTTTTAACAGGGATGAAAAGAAAGGCGGGCAGAGAAGGAAATAACGGAGACAAAAGTGACCCGAAAGGAAAGTCAAGGAAACGCGCAAGCGGACGTCGCGTTCGTCTTGACGGCGGGAGACGGACGCGCCGCGTCGACTGGCGAAAACAAAGCACGAAGCCGAATAAATCGAGGCGCCGCTTCAAGACGCGACGCCTCCATCGCGCCGAGTAGCCGCCGGAAAAGTTGCGCGCGGCCAAACGTGCTCACCGTCGCCATCGACGCCGACTTCCACGTTTGGAGATTCCAAAAACTAAAGCAAGCCTTTTATGCGTTGTGCTCGCCAACTCAATTTGAATTTGTGATTTCTTGATTTGATGTTCGTTGTCAGAATGAAACGGTGCAACGAGCTGAGTTGCAACAAGCATTTTGTTTTCAGGCAAACTTTACCGACTAAAAACAAGTTCAGACGCCGAGTTCTTCTCTGCTCCGAGTCGAACGAGATTTCTTTCACGTTCATAAGCGGCGGCGTGCTCTCAACCATTTTCGAGACAATTGAGATTTCAAACCTCGGCAGAGTGCGCCCGTGCGGGGGGGTCGCAAGTCGGTGAAGCGCGGCGAGCGAGGGGCCGGCGCGCTCACCTGTTGTAGATGTCGTCGTCCTCGCCCCCCCAGCCCCAGTAGTTGTTGGGGAAGCCGTTGATCCTCAGGTACTGCTCCTTCATCATGGACGACACGCCGCCAAAGTACTGCTTGTACGGCAACCTGCGCGCAAGCGGTCGCGCGTCAGGGCGGCCGGGAGAGAGGGAAAGAGCGCGCCAAAGCCATCGGGGGCGTGCGACGGCATGCCGACAAGAAAAAATGTTGAAATGCCTTCGCTCGCAACCGTTGTGAGCTCACGCTAAGTGGTTTGCGGGAGGAGGAGGGGCGAGCGTTGATGCATTTCCGGATCCTCCAGCGGGTCAACCTATTCCTTCCATTTGATAGCGAACGGAAAAGGCGACGGCGGCTCGTCTGACCTGAATCCAAACTTGTCCATGGAGACGGACAAGTGGCGGGGCTGGCTGAAGCACTTGTAGATGTTGCGGTCGTCCATGGGGATCAAGTCCACGTCGCTGAAGACGAAGCAGTCGTAGTCGTACTCCTTCATGGCCTCCGCGTAACCCACGTTCAGCAGTTTGGCTCGGTTGAAGATCTCCTCGCCGTCCTGACGCGCGCGCATCGACAAAGACGCTCAGACGGCCACGTGGCTGCCGCGTGCGCGCGCTTCAAGCCAGATATGGGGCACCAATGATTCCCCCCCGACCCCCCCAGTGTGCTTTGGTCCTCGGCTCCAAAATGTCACCGGACGGTGCCAAAAACAACGCCGGTGGCTGCGGCTTCGGTTCGGCCCGGTGCCGTCTGGGCTCCGAGGGAACAATTTGGAGCGCGCCGGCGCCAAAGTTCGGCGACTGGCCCGTTTCGGCCCGGCCGCTGGAGGGCGAGGGCGGCAAACGCCCGCCGGAGCAAACTCGGAATCCCCCGAGGCGCCGCGCCGGACGCGAAGGGTGATTTTGCAAAGAGAGCAAAGCGAGCTCACCTGCCGACGCGCCGGCCGCACGAAAGCGCGCCGCGACTTACAGGAAGAGCGAGAAAGAGAAGCGGAAGAGCGAGAAGGCGGCGCCCCCCCCTTTGTCATCCGTCAGCCGAGATGAGCCGCTATTGGCCGACGCGCGGCCCGGGGGGCGCGTCGGAGCAGCTCCGGGGCGATGAGCCTGTCGTGCCGGGCGGGCGGGTGAGGGTTCAAAGAGAGAAGAGCGAGGAACAAGACCACAAGGAAGAGCTTTACAAGCCATTTCAAAAGCACACATGCGAGCGAGGAGGCGCCCCGACGGCGCTCGCAAAGCGGCGGCGCGCGATCATCGCGCGGCATTTGGCACGCTCAAAAGTGCGCCGAAAGCCGCGAGCGCGTTTTTTTTTTTCCCCACAT